GGTCATTGTGGATTCAGGTCATCGACTGTGGATTGATCACCTCTGAGGACATTTTAATTAACCGTCAGGCCCCAGAGTGGCTCCATCTTTCCTTCCCCCACCCTTTCCCACTCTGTGGCCACCACGGTCATCAACAAAAGCAAACAAACAGCGCTGGCCACAGCACAGCGAACAGGTGCCCTGGGTGGCCAGCAGCTGAGCGGGACCCGTGGGTTTGAATGTGGCCAGGCTAGTGGCCCATGAAGTCTCTCAGTAGTCCCTAACTGGCCACAGACTATGTCTGATGACTAGACCCAGTTCAGGAACCAGTCGGCTCCAGGAGCTTATGAATGCCTGCTTCTCGCCTGTCAAGTGGGAACAGTGGGGCTGGTGGGATGGCTTGGTGGGTAAAAGCGATTAGCACACAGGCTTGATGACCCAAGTTCTATACCCAGATTCTATTTAAAAAGCCAGACGCAATGGTGTCCTTCTGACATCTTAGAAGTCCTAGCATGCACGGGGTGGTGGTGGCGCACGCCTTTAATCCCAGCACTCGGGAGGCAGAGGCAGCGGATCTCTGTGAATTCGAGGCCAGGCTGGACCGACAGCCTCAAAAACAATACAGAGAAAACCCTGTCCCGAAAAAAAAAAGTCCTAGCATGAGATGGGAGGGGACCATAGGAGAATCAGTCAGCCTGGAATATACAGAGCAGAGGAAATGAGAAGACAGGCCCTACCTCAACACAGTGGAGAGTGGGAGCCACACCCATAGTCACAAACACGATAATAATTGTGGCAAATGATTTTTAAAGCTGAACGTGTGAATAGCAGAAAGGGTCCATAAAGCATGTTGCAAGGATGCTTTCAGAAATATCAACCAGGCATAGTGGCACTCAGTTTCAAGAGAGGGACCAATTTCCTCCACGTTCCCAGAGAGGGACAGGAGGTGGACAGAGGCAGACGTAGGTGTGCCAGCCCCAATCAGAACTTCCCTAACTTGATGGTGCATGGGACACCCCTGAGTGCTTTGTTGAAATACTGGGTCCCGCAGGTGTGGGCTGAGATCCTGGTGCTGTGATGTGAGGTCCAAAGGCCATCCTTAGAGTATCTAGGAACTAATGCTTTATCTCATTTAGCTGCCACAGCATGCAATGAGACAGGTCCTGCATCATCCTTGTTTGACAGCAGAAACTAAGGCTTTGAGAGATGGGATAATGCCATCAAAGTACTGACTAAGTGGAAAAATCAGTACTTGAAGCCAGGGGGCCTGGCTTGAGTCTGTCACCCACCTGCTGCTGCACCATCTCCCCGGCATTTACTGAGAAGCCAGAGGCCTGCAGTGAGTCGAGGCGGGGGGGGGGGGGGGGCATCCAAGTAATAGGCTCAGGAAGCTGTGGTTTGGAGGACAGACAAGTGCCGGCTGGTTCTGCAAATTTCTCCCGCTTTAGTGGAAAAGCTGCAAGCTGATTTGCTGTGTAAGAGAAATATTTAACTGCACTGGCAAAAAGCTACAGAGCCAAAATAAGAGGGAGGAGCCTGCTCTCAGAGCTGGAGCTGAGAGGACTTGGTTGGGAACCAGAATTGAGGGATGACCTCACTGGTGCCATCAAACAAAAACTATAAATGTGAGAAGGCTTGGCCAGATGTGGTGGCACACACCTGCAATCCCAGCCCTCAGGAGGTCAAGACAGGGGACTATCTCTGAGTTCCAGGCCACCCTGGAACACAGAGAGACCTATCTTACAAAACAAAACAAAATTAGTAAGCGTGGTAAGTGAGTGTAGTGCATGCCTGTAATCTTGGCACTCTGTAGGTTGAAGCAGGAGGATCAGAAGTTCGAGGCCATCCTCAGCTACACAGAAAGATCAAGGATGGCCCATGCTACATAGGACCCTATCACAAAAAAAGAAGAAGAAAATAAGGAGGGAGGGAGGAAGGAAGGAAGGAAGGAAGGAAGGAAGGAAGGAAGGAAGGAAGGAAGGAAGGAAAAGAGTAAAACAGATCTGAGAATGCCCACCCCAGTTCTCCTGCCCCCTCAAGGTCCCAGAAGCTTGCCAGTCAAAGAGAAAAGGGACAGCCACACACACATGAGGTGTCAGGTCCTGCCAGGCAGGCAGCAGAGGTGACACTGGTCCTGCTCTGCAGAGGCGTGGAGGCCATCAAAATTCTCCATTCAAATCTGCTAAGTCTCCAAAGTAGGAGGGACAATAGCCAAGGGCTAAGCAGGCCCAAAGAGTCTGAGTGTAGGGGGCCTCCTGATGCTGGAGTGGGATGCTTCCCGCAGATGAGACCCCAGGGGGCCCCTCTGCCTCCAAGAACAAAACCACAAAACTCCAGAATGTCTCCAGGGGCCTCTTGTATCCACCTGGTCCCTACCTACTCCAGCCGCCTAGCAGACAGCTGTTCTCAGGCCACTGGGCTACACGCCCACGCTGCCTGCAGCCGCCCGCCCAGGAGCATTAATTGAAAATTAATCCGCTCACTACGTGCCGACGTGCAAATCAAAGCTAAGTGTCTCAATTAGGAAGAGAAATGCAGTCGGGACTCGTCCTGGGCACCAGCTTATTTATGGGGATAATATCGTTTTTAATGAGGGAAGCTACTAAAAGGCACAACAAATGCAACATTTAATAGAAAAATATTACAGCATTCCATCAGCGGAATGAAGCCAGAGGGTGTGTTCCAGGGACACACAAGCACCCGGTTTCCTAATAGTGTGGGCACCAATAAAGGAATGTGTGTGGGCACAGGTCTGTGGAAGCATGCATGAGTTTGTATGTACATGTGTGTGCATGTGTCCTCCATGCCTGGAAATGGGACCTGTGGGTGTGTCTGGAGGTAAACCAAGGTTTTCCTGAATTTGGGTTGTAAAAGGAGGGTGTCCCAGGGCTGGGGAGGAGGCTCAGCCGGCTAAGAGCCCGCTGTGCAAGCCTGAGGGCAAGAGTTTGGATCCCCAGAACCCATGTAATAAAAACAGGGTGTGGCAATGTATGTCTGTAATCCCTGCACAGGGTAAGAGGAGACAAGTGGATTCCTGGGCTCACTAGCCAGCTAGTCTAGCCAGTTTGTGACCCTGCCTTAAAAATACAGTGGGCAATCAAGGAAGACACCTGATGTCAAGTTCTGGCCTAGGCACACAGCAACACATGTGCACATATGAATGAACACATGCACACACCGCAGAACACACACATAAACATGTACAGGAGATGGGCTTCCCCTCTGCCATTGCAGAGACCACAGAAGACCCCAGGTACTTTCTAGCTCCAGGATGGATGGTTTATTGGGACCCTAGAGACATGCAGATCTCCTAGTCCACTTCCATGGAGAGTCATCGGGGAACAGAGCCCCCCTGGACTCCTTTGTCATATAAACCATACTGTCCCAGCCAGCTGTATCACTGGCACCTGGAGGCTTGTAAGACCTTCTGGGTCTCAGTCCACTGCCCTGAGCTGGCACTGGTCTTGCCTTGGTCTCAGGCTCAAGAACCAGGGTTTATATTTCAAGACAAGCCCATGAGTCCATGTTCTTCAGCCTACTGCCTCCTCCTCCATCTGAGCAGAGCCGAGATGGCCTCTGCTCTTGTCTCTGTGGGGTGGAAAATGACTCTGATACAGCTCATGGTTCAGGCCAGCCTCATCTTGGCACAACAGAAGATGCCTTCCTAGTGTCCTGTACAACACCCACACAACACCCTCTTCCAAATGTCTGCTGCTGTGGGACGCTCCTGGAGGACAGGCCCTCGCCCACTCCCTCACTAATCCCTAAGGCAGGTTCTGGCCACCCAGAAGCCTCTGCTTCCCCTGAGGCCCATGGGACTAACAGAGAATGATGCCTGAAGTGACAGTGGGTGAGGTGTGGCATGCTTGATGCCCCTACCTACCAGAGCATGGCCAGAGAGGATCAGTCAAGAGGGTAGAGATTCTGTCACCTTGTCCCACCCCTGAAGACCTGGCATGAACAGAGGGAAGATTTTCATCACCATTCCTCAAACAAGGAAACTGGCTCTCAGAACAGTTGACCGTCTTGCCCAAGGCTCCCCAGCAGAGAAACATAAATACCCAAACCCCAGGCCTCCTAGGATTAAAGCCTGAGTACTCCCATTTCTGAGGAACCTGGAAGGCTCCAAGTCAGGGAATCCATGTATAAGACAGTGCTGCCTCCCATCACCTGGGTGCCTTTGAATTTGTCATATAGCCTCTCTGTGAGTCATCTTTTCATGGATAAAATGAGAAAAAAACACCACCTACTCCTGGGGTTTCTTCTGGGCCAATGAGCTGAGACCCCTCAAGCACCTAAAATTGAGCCAGCACATGATAAATGTTTGGTATGCATTGAGGCGTTAGCATTATTAGGCCATCCTACCCGCAAGCCATTATCTTCCTGATCAGGCTTACCAGAACCATCCATCAGCCTGTGGAAAGCCCCAAGGCAAGGCCTTCCCTATCCCAAATGCCCAGCACAGGGGACTGCTGTGTCCCATAACACAAGCCGTGTGTATTCCTACACATTGCTGTCGGCCACTGAGCTGCATATGTCTCTCAAGCCCCTTTCTAGATGTGTGATTATGTTTGAATGCTTAAATGATAAAGTAATGAAAGTGGGTGGAGGAGAAGGGGTGGCCAGTGGAGGATGGTACGGTCCCCTTAGGTCCCTGCCTGCCTCTTCCATGTGACCTACACAGATCACGGACAAGGACGAAGCTTGATCTCCTTTGTGAGGTATTCCTCAGAACCTAGTAAAATGTCTGTGCCTGGTAAGTGATTTATTATTGCTGGTGAAGGCGGGGCGGGTGCCCTAAGGCTGAGCAGGAAGTGGGAAGGCAAGCCATCAGGCTGTACAATGCAGCCCTACCTGTCCTCTTAGGCTGCCAAGGCGACAGCTGCTCCTGCCTGGAGACCTGAACTGGGAGTAGCAACCCTGGCCCCACACCCAGATGCAGAATGGCCAGCCCCATGCTCCTTCTCAGACCCCAGGTCCCTCCAGACTGAAGACATTTGAAAGTTAACTTCCCACAAAAGTCACTCTCCAAGATTAATATTTATTTCTTATGAAATTTAAATTTTTCAGTGTAATTAAATTTTTATTCGTCCTGAGTTATAGATAAAAAATATTTATAACTTTCCCTTTCACACCACTGAAGATGAGGGTTGGATGAAACCAATTACCGGGACCTCCTCCCGGCGGCTGCTCTGAGGTCAAGGCAGGAGTTAGAGGAGCCTTGGTAAAGTAATAGCTGGCATCTGTCACCCCAGGCCACAGAGCCGAGGCACTTCCTGCATCCAGGCGTAGGGAGTCATGGATAAAAGAGGGGACTTCAGATCCACACCCCAGTGTCTTGGGCCATTGGGTTGCTGTGATAAAAACATGTAAATATAGCAATAAACATTGGCTTCTTGTAGGTCTAGAAAATGAGAACTCTAAGATCATAGTGATGCTGGATTCCAGTGTCTCCCGATGTCCACAGCAGAGCTTCCATGACAGTTCAAAGTTCTGTGCAGGGGCCTCAGGATCATCCCATGGCTGGAAAAATCCATCCTGTTAATTAAGCCTGAATCCTTCCTAACAGGTGGGGCTACCCAAACCCTCTCTGGTCTCACATGCTCTAGCATGCACTGGGAGATCAGCACCCACAGCCAAACCCTCCACCACGCATACTACATAGCCTCCGATCGTCCTAGAAGCATGCTGCCACCTGGGAGACTAATTGGGGTGCTTTGATCACACAGCAGCCATTCCTAAACAGTGGAGTGCATAGGAGTTTCCACACGGCTAAAATCAATTAAAGAGCCAGACTATTGTCACACCATTTTTGCCTTTCCTCTCTAACCAAAGAGTCTTGGGACCTGGGTTAGACAAGGGCCAGGACCAACCTCTCAGGTGCCCCCCAGAATAGGGACAACCCGCCCTTCCTTCTGACCATGGCAGGGAGCCACAGATCCAGCTCTCTAATTAGACCTGTCGCCAGGCGGAATCACTCCCAGGCCGGGCTGGGGAGGTCATTAGCTGGAGATGGATAAGTGCTAAGCCAACCTCACTCTGGAGATTTACAAGGCTCGGGCTAGGGAGGATTTATAAGGTTTGTTAAATTTCTAATTGAGTTTAGAGTGCTGTGCCATGGTCTTGGTGACCAAGCTGCACAGATGAGAATTAAAACAAGTGCCCCATCCCTCATACTGCAAGAAGATGGTGGCCTCTTCCTCGCCTGGCTGCACAGGCAGGGGCTGCCCAAAGACAGTGTGGTTTAGTGAGCAACCCCAAACTAGTCCTTCAGCAGCTTCTATCCATTCCTCGGCCTGACTTGATTGATTTCCCAGATTTGCTGTTTGTTCGAGTGGAGGCAAGGTGTGTAGGGGTGCGTGTCTGTGTTAGTGCACTAGCACACGGTTGCATGTGTGTGTGAGTGCGTGTGGAGGCCAGAGGTTAGCCTCTGGTAATCTTAGGAGTTGTCCACCCCGTGGGGGTTTTGATTTATTCTGTTTTGTTTTTATTGGATGTGTGTGTGTGCCTGTGTGTGTGTTGAAATGGAGTCCTCTCATTGGTTAAGCTGAGGCTAGCCAAGTAAGCTAAGTTGGCTGGCCAGTGGACCCCAAGGATCCACCTGTCTCTGCCTCCCTGGTGCTGGGATTACAAATGCTTGCCACAATACTTGACTTTTAACTTGGCTCCTGAATCAAACTCTGATCATCATGTTTGTATACAATCTCCCCAGACCCTTAGTCATCTTTTTAAATAGTCAATACATGCATATAATTCAAAACTCACACAAAAGCGTTCGCAGAGGAAGCCTCTCTCCCCTCTGACTCCTAGCCACCATCCTGTCCCTCGCTGGCGAAAGTCAGAATTTGACCAGGAGGAATTGAAGTTCCACTCATGTGTCCCAGGGCCTGCAGGGTAACAGGCAAGCCACCATCCCCATCATCCCTTGTTCAGTAGAGCTCACACGGCTCCTCCCACTGAATGCCAAGTGAGCTGTGCATGGGCCTTCCTTCCAATGAGTGATGGCATCATCCCCCAGAAACCAGGAACCCAGCTGATGTCAGATGAGTGCCGAGCATCAACCCTCCTAATGCTGCGACCTTTTAGTACAGTCCCTCATGGTGTGGTGACCCCCACCATGAAATTATTTCATTGCTACTTTATAACTGCAATTTTGCTACTGTTGAGAACCACAATGTAAATATCTAATGTGCCACCCTGTGAAAGGGATCAGTCCCTCTGCCAAGGGGTCATGACCCTCAGGTTGAGAACTACTGCTCCAAAGGAGACAAAAGAAGTTAATGGGCAGGGGGGTGGGGAGTGGCCATGGAAGGCCTCTCTGCAAGCGGGTATCCACCCACTGCCTGAATTGCCAGCTACGAGAAGCAAGCGTGGCAGGGACAGTGCCGTGGGAGGGAACCGAAAATGCAAAGGCTCAGAGGCAGTGTGGGGATAAAATAAAGTGACTGGGACGAGAACTGTTTCCGGGGCTGTGAGCACGCCCAAACCAGGAGGTCTGGTGGGACCAAAGATATGACCTCAGACTTCATCCCTGGAGCTCAGTTTCCCCATCTGTGTGTAGGCCAATTGCAAAAACATTCCAGCATACGGAGAAATGAAACGAGCTTGCTCACGTGAGTTCCCACTTGGAAGGCTTTCCTCCTAGGATCTTATGAGTCTGAGGAGTAACCTTGGTGAAGGGTCTTCCTGGACCTGAGAAAGGGCCCTAAGGGGGCAGGACGCTGGACTGAGCTCCTGAGATAAGAAGGCCCAGCTCCACGATGCCAGGAATGACCTTATCTTGTCCAAGGACATGATGAGGTTTGGGTTCTAGGACACACAGAAGGTCAAGCAGCTTCTGGAACAGTCCCCTTTCTCATGGGCCCACTCCTTTCCTTACCTGGGAAAACACAGGCGGGAAATTCCCCCAGAGCTGTCTCAAGTGGGAAGCCTGAGAGGACCAAAAGGACTGAGACTTCCCAGCTCTGCTCCACCAGCATCCAGGGCCTCTGTGCCACTGTAGCGCCTGCAAAGTCCCGGATCCATAGTGTGAACGTTGGGCGCCCTCTGGCGGCGACTGTGCCGATCCAACGCCTAGAGCTGTCAATCGTCTTTGCATCCAGACCCCGCCCTCTCCAGCCTAAAAATGGGCAGAAAGGACAGTGCCAAATAAGGATGGCACCTGGGGTATCACATGACTGGTGGAGGATCACGCAGCAAGTGGATTTACCTAATGTCCCAGAAATACTCATTCGTTCGCTCGTTCTTTCACTGAGCATCTACTGAATGCCAATATTGTTCTAGAAACAAGCAACTCAGCAAATCTTTACCCCCAGGGAAGCTACACTCTACCACTGGCAAAGCCTTGACAGTTGTTAATTATTTTAATTCCTCCATACGCTCCTATTTAAACCACTTGATTCCCGGTAACCATATAGCTACTAATAACCATGTATAACTCCATGTCCAGGGAATCCAACACCTTTGTTGGGTCTCAGAGGTCTTCTGCATGCATGTGGTGTATATAAATTAATGCAGGACACACAGATATACAAAATAAATGTAAATAAATCTTTTAAAAAGCAACTCTCAACTATACATTGTTTCAAAAAAACTATTAAGTCAGTCACTGTGGTGCACACCTTTAATCCCAGCACTGGGGAGGCAGAGGTAGGTGAGTTCAAGACCAGCCTGGTCTACAGAGGGAGTACCAGGCCATCCAGGGTAACATAGCAAGACCCTGTGCCCAATAAGAAAATTAACAATAAAAGAGTGTAAAAAGACATATCTTCCCTAGCACCAAATAAACAAAAACTAAGCCTGGTGTGAATGCCTGTAGTCAAAGAACTTGGGTATTGGTATCAGGAAAATCAGAAGTTGAAGATTATCCTCAACTAAACGCCAAGTTTAAGGTCAGCATGAAATACATGAGACCCTGTCTTTAAAAAAATAAGAAAAGAGAAACTGGAGTAACCACACTAACATCAGACAAAATATATTTCAGATCATAGCAATACTGCTAACCAGGGGCCAATTAATCAGAAAACGTAACAATTCCAACCATTTGTGTATCTCATCACAAAGCTTCCAAATACACGATACAAAAATAGAAGAGCGAGCAGAAGCAGACGGGTCCACAATTATAGCTGGAAATCTCCATACTACCTCTCAATAACTGATAAAAACAGGCAGGCAGAAAATCACTAAAGACTCGGAAGATTCAAAGAACACTATAAAACAGCTTGCTCTAATTGATGTTTTCTGAACATGCCATTCAACATCCAAATACATGTTCTTTTCAAGTATGCATGGATATGTTTAAAGTAGATTGTGGGCTAGGAAAATGATTGAGTCTGTAAAGTGCTCGCTATACAAGCAGGAGGAACTGAGTTCAGATCCCTGGCACCTACATCAAAAGCTGGGCTCGGCAGTCCATGCCTGTAACGCCACTGGTTGATGAGTGGAAATGGGGGGCCCTGGGGCTTGCTGGCCAGATAGTCTAGTCAAATCAGTGAGCGCTGGGTTCAGAGGGAGCCCTGTCTCTAGAAAGTAGGTGGTGAGATGGTCCAGTAGGAAAAGCACTTGCCACGCAAGCCTAGTGACACAAGTTCCCAGAAGCCAGGTAAAAGCCAGGCACAGTGATCCATGCATCTGCAATTTCAGCGCACCCTATGAGGAGACAAGGGCAGAGATGGGAGAACCCTTGGAGGCTCGCAGGGCCAGCTAGCTGGACATATGCAGCAGTAAACAAGAGAGGTAATAGCTCTTACAAAGTAGAAGGCAAGGGTCGACAGTCAAGGTTCTCCTCTGACATCTGCATGTGCAGCATGGCATATGTGTACCTGCACACACACACACACACACAGAGAGAGAGAGAGAGAGAGAGAGAGAGAGAGAGAGAGAGAGAATACTTTTAATAACCTGTAAATCAGCTGGGGCGGTGGTGGCGCACGCCTTTAATCCCAGCACACGGGAGACAGAGACGGGCAGATCTGTGTGAGTTAGAGGCCAGCCTGGTCTACAGAGTGAGTTCCAGGACAGCCAAGGCTGTTACATGGAAAAACCCTGTCTCAAAACTAGAAACAGGCAAACAAAAAAATGACCTGTAAGTCAAAGAAATCACCAAGTATTTTGAGGTGAATGAAAATGAAAACTAAAAATTAGAGGAGCGCCATTGTGAGGGTGCCAAGAGGATGCTGAGAGCGCAGTCCACTAGCGGGAAAAGACCAACACCTGTGGATGCAGCTTCCGCCTCCCTCCTCAATGAGGAAAATGGACTGGAGAGATGCCTTAGCCAGTAAGGGGCTTGTTGGTCCTGCAGAGGACCTGAGTTTGCTTCCCAGCCCCTTACAGGCTTGTGGCTGCCTGTAATTCCAGCTCTGTGGGATCTAGGATAGCTAACCTTGGTTGTCAACCCTCAGTCTTCCAGTGGCAGCCTACGTAAAAGGACACGAGGGAGGGCAGCTCTGCTTTCTGCCTGCTGATCCTCACTTCCACTGCAAGTTTGTCGACCCTGTTGTTGCAGCCGATATGAGATCCCACAGGATTGCAATGCTGACTGAAGACTGGACGCTCTCCAGGAATCTTCTCAGACTCCAGCACCAGATGGACTGCTGAGACATCCAGCCTCTTGAACTGAATGAATACTGGATTCTCCGTCATTCCATTGTGAGACAGCCGGCTGTTGGACAACCTGAACTATGCCTGTAAGTCAATCTAATAAACCCTTTTAACACTTAATGTTCATTCTTTCAGTTCTGTTCCTTTAGAGAATCCTGAATAACACAGGGTCTGAGACCCTCTTCTGGCCTCCACAACCACACATGGCACATATACATAGTAATACACACATATACATAAATTGAAAAATAAATCTTTTTTTTTTTGAGGCAGAGTTTCTCTGTGTAACAGTCCTGGTTGTCCTGGAACTCAATTTGTAGAATAGGCTGGCCTCAAACTCATAGAGAACCAACTGCCTCTGCTTCCCAAAGGCTGGATTAAACGGTGTGCACCACCATGCCTGACTCAAAAGCATTTTGTTTTTGTTTTTGTTTTTCCATGCAGGGTTTCTCTGTGTAGCTTTGTAGACCAGGCTGGCCTCAAACTCACAGAGATCCGCCTGCCTCTGCCTCCCAAGTGCTGGGATTAAAGGAGTGCACTACCACCGCCTGGCTCAAAAAGTAAATCTTAAAAGGGAAAGGAACAAAGAAAAAGGAGCCAACTAACCCTGAAATAAATGGGTTTAAGCTGTTTTTCACAGGTAAAAATGTTAAAACTGAAAACCATACATTAAAAAATAATAGAGGAAATTAATAAAGACAAAAGATGTTTGTTTGAAGAAATCTATAAACTCAATAAAGCTCCCGCTGAATCAGTCAGGGAATGAGTGAGGAGATGGTGTTATACCAATACCAGAAATGAAAGAGATTACATTGCTACAGATTCCATATTCTTCTGTCACATGTTATCTTAGTCACTGTTCTGTGGCTGAAAAAAAAAGACACCATGATCAAGGTAGAAGAAAGCATTCAATTGGCAGCTTGCTTACAGTTTCAGAGGGTTAGTGATCATCATTTTGGGGAGCATCACTACACAGACAGGTGCCGGAGAAGAAGCCGAGCACGACATCCTGATCTATAGGTGGCAGGGGGAGGGGGAGGGGAGGGAGGGAGGGAGAGAGAGAGAGAGAGAGAGAGAGAGAGAGAGAGAAGCTCCTGAAACTTCAAAGCCCATTCCCAGTGACACACCTCCAGTGAGACCACGCCTACTCCAGTGTTCCAACAAGGAAGGCCACACCTCCTAATCTTTCTGTCTGCCAACTGATGCTCAGCGTTCAAATGCATGAGCCTGTGGGGGTCAATCTCATTCAGACCACACCACACAAGCGCTGTGCCTGACAGCTCGCAGGGGTCATTTCTCTCCTTCCACCTAGTCAAAAGCCAGGATAGCTGGCCCACAAGGTCCCGGCCATTTTCCCATCCTCACCTCCCATCTCACAAATGGCTCTTGAAAAGGACTCAAGTTCAGTTCCCAGCACCCATATCAGGCAGCTCACAACAGCCTACAACTCCAGTTCCAGGGAATCTAATGCCTTCTGGATCCCACGTGGCCCTGCACTCACAGGCACAGACCCATACACAAACACACAGACGTACAGACATAACTTAAATTTCATTTAAAAAGAAATAGTACTGAGATCATGGATACACATCATGAATGCTCATCACTGCTTCCAGCTTCCTGTGTGGCTTCCAGGGACTCAAACTCGGGTCATCATGCCTGAGCAGCAAGCCTTCACCCACTGAGCCACCCCCCCCCAATTTCCACAGATATTAAACAAGAAGATAACTTCAGAGTCGGATGGCTTCCCTGGAGACTTTTAGCAAACACTTAAGGAAGGTGTGAGATTGTGAAATCTATATTAGATTAGGTCTTGGATTCCATTTTCTGGCGCACAGTTCCTAAAGCACTTTGAATCTCTGGAATAACAAGTCTTTTGTGTACTGTCTCGGTTCATTTGGACGGCTATAACAAAAGACCTTAGATTGGCTAATTTATACCTGAAAGAATTATATTTCTGGAAGTTCTGGGGGCTGGAAATCCTAAGATCAAGCTGCCAGGATGTCTGGTGATGCTCTGTAGATGGTGTCTCGTGGCTGCCCGTCTTCACGTGACCCGAGTGGCGGAAGGGACCAGGCAGCACTGTCTGCTTCCTGCACGCAGGTACTAACCTCCGTGGTGAGGGCAGAGCCCTCGTGCTCAGCACTTCCCTGAATGCCCCACTTTTTAACACGGTCATCTTGGGCTGTAGATTTCAACACATGAACTGGGGCGGGGGGGGGGGGCGACCGAATGCTGACAGGGCTGGCAGCTGGTGGCACTGCATAGCTTCAGGATGGGGCTGACAACAAGAAAGACCAAGGCACGGCCTTTAGCCTCGTCCCCCCAGGAAAGATAAAGGGACTGCAGATAAGTCTGTTCAGAATGGCCGGCAATTTCCAGTCACATCTACATAAGGAAGCCTGAAGTATAAAACTGAAG